TATAACTTGAATCAATGTGTATTTAACTCACATTTTGTAGGCTCCATTCTTAACTATGGGGCATCCTTCAACTGGGCCTTCTTAACCCAGGGACTACCTGTACCTTAAATTCTACAGGAATCAAATTCAATGGAAAAAGTGACTTGCCCTTCATTTCATTTGAAATCTTTCGTATTCAGCACCTAATAAAAACATCATGGTTTCATGAAGGACTTGCACATGTTTGTGAGCTGCCTATATTCCTGGGATTGTAAAATGGCTTTGCTCCAGCCATCTGTTCTTACAATCAAAACTGGCTGCACAATAACCATCTCTGCATTCTCTTGCTATTTTAGTATTTTTGCAGCCCATGAAGCATTTAGTTACAAAGAGAGCAATACTTGCAGCCCTACTGCTCCAAAACCCATGAGTAGATACAATCACTAGTAAACTATGAAGGTGAGAAAATACTTAGGTTTTCATGGAAACACACTATTTGACCATAGTGAAAGCATATGTGAATATTGTTGCAAGGTGGAGGGGATTCTCTATTAGAGGTCTACAGGTACTCCTTGTTTAGCGACCACAATTGGGACCAGGAACTCGGTTGTTAAGTGAAGCAGTCACTAAGTGACAGTGCACTGTGCTTACAATCTTACTTCAGCTTTCCTCTGCCTTACAGACCTGCAAAGGTCATAAATGTGAGGATTGGTCATAAAGTTACTTTTTCATCACTGTTGTAAGTATGAACAGGCGCTAAACAAGGATTACCTGTATAGGACTGAGCATGCACTTCAAAGATGAAATATTTGAATCTGTAGATATCACAAAAGCATATAGAAAACTGTGATACAAAGATTTGCTTAGATTGTTTCTGAAGACGGATTATTGCCTGTCTTCTGCTTACTATTTTTGAATAACTAAAGCATCATTTTACAATTAAGTATATATTAGGATAACATTGGTTAGCCAAGAATAAGCTCAAAGGACAATAAATAAAGATGGCATTCAAGCTGAAGATTGATTCTTTCAGCTCATCATGTTGCATGTTGTGTTTTCTACTTCATTTGATTAGGCACATACTATGACATCCATATCCTAGGCTTAAAGTATACTGTGGTAATCTTTCTCAAAATAAGAATGACATTATTTACCTATCCTTTCGTTATTATCTTCATCATGCCCATTTTAGAGCACAAATCTTCTTACCCGTAGTGAATATTTGTTTGGGTTACTTTAAGAACATAAATGGCAATATTTGATGCATAATGGAATGTGTAAATATCCCTCCTAGAATGCAGGCATACCTGTGCTTGAACTGAGTCAGTCATCCTGAAGTTATGGCTTTAATCATGTCTCCACAAGGTATCTGCATGGATGGCTGGATGCAACCATTTCCCTGGGCTAATTATGGCACCTGCATTGCAATGCTATGGTTCCTTCTGTCTGCCATGTAGACTTAATAGATCAGTGCAAGGATCAGTCAATTTGCATGCAGTGATCAAAGGCACTGAATCAGTGTATCCACATCCTAGCAGAAATTTTAGGTGGATCTGTCACATTAGCAGCTCCTTAAATGTTTTGAAAAATCTAGGCAAAATAGGCGGCTGAAGCTTCAGAATTCTCTTTACAGATGGAGTGCAGGGAAAAAACACGCTAAGGTGATAATAGTGTGCAGTCCTTTGATTGACAGTATACTGTATGAATCTGGTATTAAATATCATTTGCAACTTTAATTGAAGATTCTTTTTGCCCTTCAGCAGCAGAAGGGCCAAAGAATTTAATTTAGGCACCGCAATGCGTAAGAAGCTCCATTGAAACTGATTTGTGTTGTTTGCAAAATGGAGCAAAAAAACCTAACTTGCCAGAACTGCCTTTCCTAAAGGTGTTGAAGGTCAGTGCTTAATCCAGTTTTCTGTTGTTTTCATCTCTATAGCAAATCACTTATTTTAATCCGAGCAAAACTGCCTACCTTTGGTTCCTTATAAATGTCATTGGTGCTGGAGGCTCAGAAGTTCAGTCAGAGGTTGCTGTGTGCTCTTTATTATGTTTACTCTTAATGAAACCTCATGCAAACCTTATAATATTACAATACCTTTTTGAATTTTTATATCAATTCATTTTCTTTTTATATGCTAGGTTGTGGTGGAGGCCTATTTTATCAAACTAAAAATTATTTCTGTGCAGCAATCCATATGTACTCCATATCATCATGCCTCTTGTATGGCTTTAAATAAGGCCATTGTTTCCAAATAAAGAATATAATTTCTGTCTCTTGAACATGATACAGTTGCTGTCTTGGAGTGATGGAACACATGCACATATGGTTCTTGTTTCTACTTAATGAATTTTAATCTCCATTGACTGTGTTAAGGAAAGGAGTTGCATAGCTGGTAACAAAACTCTTCTATGCCTTCTTCTCTTCTGGTTTGAGGCACTTGTGTCTTCAGGGGTTAGCCTCTTCTAAAGGCTAACCTTTTTTCCCTTAAGGTTGAATTATCCCAACCCACAATGTAAGAGCCCAGCTGTCTTTTTTTACTATGTACCTTCCAGATGTGTAGGGCTACATTCTTCATTATCACCAGCAAGCCTGGCCATCAGATTTGACTGAATTTTCATGATCCCCAAAAAGCAACTCTTGCCACTGAACTGGGAACTTGAAATCTCTGGCCAATCCTTAATATCTGCAAAAAACCCTGCAACCTATGACACAGCCACTCCCATAAATTGACATGTCATGACTGAGAAAAGAATTGAGCACAAAGCCCGGGAGGAGGAGCAGATGCTTCCTGCCTGTGCGTTTCCCCAGCTGCTGGCCATTGATGCTTCCTGCCCTATTCCCTCCTCCCACTACCTCTCAACGAGCATATTGCATGGAGGGTTGTGGGGATGAGGCATCAATCAATGGCTGATAAATAATGTAGGAGTCTGGTGCAATAAGACTTGTCACTTGTAATGCAGCATTCATAAATTAAAGATGAAAAGGTACAAGGCTCTTGCCAAAAAAATGAAGACAAATTTTTAATAGCTTGCCAAGATGCTGTGAGATGGAATACTCCAGAAAAATGAATTACATTTTTATTATGTGTTTTATTATGCTGTAATGAACAGAATTAAGAGAGAATACAATACATTTCTAATACAGTTGAATGAAAGGAGACT